CCAAGAATGACAAGAGGAGGGGATGAGAGAGGAAACGAGGCACACACATTTACCCTGGGGGTGGGGGCACCAATGACAACTCTGGGAAGGAGGGTCACAGGGTCCTAAGGGGCCTTCTCATTAACAAGCATGCAAGACAGCAGATGGGGGTGAGCTGGTCTGAGCTATGCAGCGGCTATCAGCTACGTGATCTATTTTTTAAAAATACTTATTTATCTGACTGCATCAGGTCTTAGTTGCAGCACATGGGATCTTCGAATTTCGGCATGTAGGTTCTTTAGTTGGGGCATGTGGGATATTTTAGTTGCAGCATGAGAATTCTTAGCTGCAGCATGTGGGATCTCAGTTCCCCAACCAGGGATTGAACCCACATCCCCTACATTGGAAGGCGGACTCTTAACCACTGGACCCCCAGGGAAGTCCCTGGCTATCTAGTTTTAAAACTTTTTTCATCATATGATTAATACAGTCACACTGTAACATCTTTGAAACATGAGAAAGAAAAAAAATGACTCATGACCACCCTGTCCTAACATATTGGCACAGCTTCCTCTCAGCTGGTGCTGTCCAATAGGGCATTCACATGTGTCACTTAAATTTATCTCAATCAATATCACGTAAAATTAAAAACTCAGCTTGTCAGTCACACTAGCCGCCTTTCACGTGCTCCCCAGGTGAGCAAGGCAGTGACGCTGTCGTGATGGCACAGTGCTGCTTGGATGGTCTCATTCATGCATCAGGTCTTCCCGTGGATTTCAGTCAAAACGTGTACATCATTTGCTACCTGCTTTGTTTCTGATACACCATAAATTTCCACACTGCTGTATAACCTTTACTAATACTGCACAATCTTCTAGTAGTACTAAGGTTCTGCACCCTTGGGGGAGCCAGAAGTGCCCCCTCCTCAGGTAAACGGACACCCATGAGCACACATACAAGAAGTGGTGGAAGACCTCAGGGGGCTCACAGGCCCCCATTAAAACTCCTTAACCTGGAAGATGAACAGTAATGGATGCAACTCTTTCTGTAGATTCTTCCCTTTTCCCCTCCATTATAAAGAAGAGCAAGATGGACATCTTCATGCAAATATGCTTTATTTCTGTAATTTAGATTGGTTCTTGGGATGAGTTCCAGAAGATACCTTTTGATTTAGGGAGTGGGAGCTGTGTTTTCAGCTCGTAAATGTCACCACGTACTTCCCCAGGCAGGGGGGCAGTTGAGACGCCACATAGGGGTCCACATGGGGGTCCTGTTGTATGACATCCTCATCCAACTAGCCCTAGAGACTGGACCAGGTACCTCTCAGGACATAAACGAATGACAGGCTGGCCACTGATCTTGTCTGGTGGTTATTCTCACCTTCATCCCAACCCAAAGCCTTGATTTCTGACACTATGGAAGGTACAGGACTGAGACAGCCACAGACTCTAACCCCTGTTTGTAGAACTCAGTCCTCAGTGGGAGAGGGGCCCATGATGGCAAGTCAGCCACAACGCCTTCCTTGTCCACCCACTTCCCAACAGTCTTTGGATACTCACGTGGTCAAGAATTTCCAGCCATCACAATGCTGGGGTGGCATGGCAGGTGGCCTCATCTAGGGATAAGGCTGTGCCTGGTTAAACCCCACAGGTAGCACACAAATGGACACTGTGATTTTAACCACTCAACCTTTCCGTAAACTATTTGTCACGTCACAAAACGTTTAAGTGGCTCTCAGATGGGCGGCTGCTCCTCCCACCCTTGCCCCGCCACACGCGGTCTCCACGTGTAGTTCTTCGGTTCTGCCACTAGAGGGATCCCGTGAGCCAGCCTGTCTGCTCCCCCGAGGGGACCCAATTCCCAGTTAAATGAAGAGCCTCTGCTCCTGGAGCCACTACCGGCACGTTCAAATCTTCAAAGACAAGCTCCCTGTGGGGAGTCTGGTCCAGCAGATGCTGGTGCTCCAGGACCTCACTCCAGATGCCTTCTCTACAAGGTCCATGCCTCTGTGCTCCTTGGACTGTAGCCTGTCAGGTTCCTTTGTCCATGGAATTCTCCAGGCCAGAATACTGGAGTGGGTAGCCTTTCCCTTCTCCAGGGGATTTTCCCAACCCAGGGATCGAACCTAGGTCTCCTGCAATGCAGGCGCATTCTTTACCAGCTGAGCCACAAGGGAAGCCCAAGAATACTGGGGTGGGTAGCCTATCCCTTCTCCAGCAGACCTCCCAACCCAGGAATCGAACCAGGGTCTCCTGCATTGCAGGCAGATTCTTTACCAACTGAGCTATGAGGGAAGCTCCCCACATCACAACTGCGGTTCTCAAGCCCAGCAGCACTTTGGAGACCCATGCGCAGAGAGGAAAAAATCTGCCCGTGTCCAGGGACCACCCCAGTCATTCTGCTTCAATCAGTCTGGGTAGGCCTGGGAATCAGGGGCTTTCAAAGCTGCCTGGGGCATTCTCATTTTTCGCTGGGCTGGGAAGCCTTGCTCTATAGCACCCAGCGCTACTGACCATTTAGTCCAGATTTCCAGGCCCATCACTGGGTGGGAGCTGTAGTGGGGTGTGGGGCAGGAGGGAGTGGAGACACACCAGCTTTGCTTTCGGGTCTCGAATGTGGTGGGGAGACAAAATTGCAGCTCAAATCCAGGAGCAAAGAAGCAGGAGCAGCCTGGCAGAAAATGCAGAGCCCAGGGCCCACCCAGTCCCTCTTGAAATCCATAGCTGCTTTTTTCTTTTTTTTAAACTTCCAGCAACCTGTCAAGCATGGCTGGGTCAGGAACCAGGATGCCTCCATGTAATACCTCTCACACTGCATCTCAAAAACAGCCTGTTTTTACATCAGCCCCTGACTGAAGCACATGCTCCTGGGAGGCAAGGAGGGGGACCTCATTCATGGCGATCCTGCCCCAGCCCAAAGCCTTGGCGGAAGTGGACAGACTGAGCCAGAAAAGCAAGCAATATGGAATTGTTGAGGCTCCACGGCGAGGGAGGGATCTCCCTCACAACACTACAGTCTTCCTTCCGAGCATGCCCTGCAGCTCTAAGCAGAAACATGAACCTTAAACTAAATTGGGTGGAACAGGGGTCTGGAAGATGTAACTTGGGTTTCCAAAGCATGACCACAAAAAGGACTCATGACGGGACAGCCAAACTCCCACACCTGACAGATGGGCTTCAGGTTAGGAGTCTGCAAACAGTTCCCAAATCCAACAGGAGGTGAAAATTGCTGGGAGTATTGAAGTGAAGTGAAGTGGCTCAGTTGTGTCCAACTCTTTGCGACCCCATGGACTGTAGCCTGCCAGGCTCCTCTGTCCATGGGATTTTCCAGGCAAGAATACTGGAGTGGAGTATTAGCCAGTCATAAAAATGAATGGAGTCCTGACACGCTTGGATGGACCTTGAGAACACTGTGCTCAGTGAAAGGAGGCAGGCACGAAAGGACACAAGTTGCATGATCCCACTGATGTGAAATGTCCAGAACAGGCAATCCATAGAGACAGAAAGTGGCTGAGAAGGGCTGATGGGGAATGATTGGCAGCATGGCACCAGCAGGGGGAGCTCTGACAGAGCCCCACTGGCAGCGGGACTCAGGCAGGGCTTCAAGTTTCCTTCTGAGCCTGGTTCCCTAGTGGGGAAAAGATGCATGGCTCAGGGAACCTCATGGGGCACTGAAGTCCTTGGCTGCAGCTGACCTCACCCTTACATGCATCCTTCAGTACGTGAGAAGAATGTCATCAGTTCACCCTTGGGCTTTAATGGACCACATCTTACTGGGGAAGAAAACAGGAAAGAATTCATCCCAAATTCCTTCCCTCTGAAAGCAGCAAAGCGCTCCACACTCCTCCATCCTGTTCCTTTTCTCACATCAGTTCCTGTGACCTTATTGCTCTAGGTCTGTTGTAAACCCAGCAGGGTTCAAATCTGGCTCAGCTCCTGAACTGGCTGGGTGACCTCCAGCAAGTTCCTTAACCTCTCTGGGCCTCGCTTCTCCCTTCGATACACAGAGGGTGATGTGAGCACCTACCTCACAGGGTTTGGGGTTCTTGTGAGCCTAAAAAGAATTAATCCATGGCCCACATGCCCTGCACCCAGGCAAAACTCAGACATCCACACTGATCACATGCCCAGCTCACATCGTGAGCTCAGGAATTACATGCTGACTGACTAACGTCAGCACTTACTGTCATCACCATCATTCGCCTGGAAATTAATGAGAACACGGACCACAGCCAAGCATGAGAAGGGGGTGTACAAGTCCCACGCCTGCCCCAGTTGCTCTGAGTTAGCCCAAGCCTGTGGTTCATGAGCCTTGTGCACGCCCACCTCTGGGAGGCCCCAAGGCCCCCTAACAACGATGCCACGTGACACTATGATAACCCTCCCCCTTCAGACAACATCTCACTGCTGCTCCTCCCAGCCCTGTGTGTGTGGCAAGGAAAGTGAGCCCGCTAATGTGCCCAGGCATCTGGTCCCCCTGGGCTCTCGGCTGTACAGTAAATGCTGCCAACTTCCCCCTGGGGCTGCGTTCCAGCCTCTTACAGCTTGAGGGTGTGAGAAGTAGAAAGGCTAAGGGCCCCTCTGGCAGGCCGGGCCCTGTGCCTGGCTTGGCCCCAGGCAGAGCACAGAGCCTGGCTGGGGACCAGGCCTCTCCCACAAGCCTTCTGCCGCCACCCCAGCCTCCCTGAGTTTGCCTGACGGACCATCTCAGTCCCTCCAGTGATGAGCACAGAAGGCACCAGGATGCTGAGGCCTGGCCCGGGGGGGTCTGGACTGGTGTACAGGGCTAGTCAGACTTGGCTGGGAAGGTTTAGTCCTAGGGAAGGGGAGAGACGGGGGAGGGAACTCCCAGCCCCCCAGCCCGGGCTGCGTGTCCTTCACAACCCCCTGGGGTGGCATGAAGTGAAGGCACTCTGGTGCCCGCGCAATGGGATGCAGGCGTCCTCCGTGCTCAGTGAGCAGAGCGGGGACACAGGCCCTTGCTCTTGGCCCCAGAGACGCAGTGGGCAGTGGGGAACTCACCCGCTCTCACTCTCCAGGAACACGGAGCTGCTGCTCTCAGCAAGGGCGGCGCTGATGGGCGAGAGGCAGAAGGGTGAAGAGAAGGCCTCTGAGTCCGAGTCGAAGGAACTGGCCCTGCTCACACCCTCGGCCGACAGCTCCAAGGAACCCTCCTCCTCACCCACCTCAGGTCGGGGCTCCCGGCCCTCTTCTGTCCCATCTTGCGAACTGACCGCTGACAAGATTCCTGAGTCGCTATGGGCCGGTGGCAAGGCTGGGAGGGGGCCGTCTGTCCCCAAGCCCGGGGCCAGCTTCTCCCCATCCTCAGGCGAAGGGCTGACGCACTCGGTGTCTCGGATGCTCTGGGCCACCACCAGGATGTCCTCGTCTCTGGGGATCAGGGTGGACCTGGGCTCCGTGGGGGATGGCTGGTGGGGGGCCCCTGAGCTCTGGGTGCGCCGGCCCCGAGGGCGGGGTGCCTTGCGCACCGGGGAACTCTCGGGGGTGATATAGCGCAGCGCCTCCTCGTCCTGCTTCTGGATCCGGGAGTTGGGGACCCACGCGAGGATGAGGGTGGCCCCCAGCAGTTCATCCTTCTCCATGTACAAGCACAGGTAGCCTATGAGGGGTCAGGAGCACAGATGGTTAGGGAGGGCCGTGCACCAAGTGCCTCTAGCTGGTTTCTTCCCAGAACCACACCCAGGCGAGAAAACCGTGGGGCTGTGCAGCCCGGCCCTAAGAAGGCACCCCGAGGGATACAGTTGAACTCAGGATGAATGAGAGTCGAGGGCATTTTCTAAGCACACACACTGAGCAGATCCGGGGGTGAGCCCTCAAGCAGCAGGATACCCTGTGCCTTCCCTCCTCCTCTTGTTCAGAGCCCCACCCTGTTCACGGCTCTAGGGGCCCCAGGGCTCCCCTGCCTCCATCAGCCTCCCGGTCTGGATGAGCCCAGGTGGCTGGGGAGGCGCCCAGGGACCCAGAAGTGCCACCAGCTTCATCGCAATCTTAGGAGGGACTCAGGCTGCAGACTTTATCACTACGTCACACAAAAGATAAATCCAAGATGAATGGCATTTGGGCCTTTCCCTGTTGGCTGAGGCTTCTCAGCATCTCTTCTTTAAAACTGCTTGTCGGAAGGAGGGCCATCTTCAATGTCATGTCCCGGATTGCTGACAAAGAAGAGAAGAGCAGTTCTCTGAGGCCAGCCGCACATGGGTGGGCTCTTAGGGCCCCTGAATGCTCAGTTTGGGAGGAAGGTGGCCTTTCCTCCTGAGACACCTGCCATTTGGGGATGTCCTAACTCTTAGGCCTATGGCACCCAGGTTCCCAGGCCTCTGGGTCTCTGAGAAGCCCCTGGGGCAGGAGCTGGGGCCCCTGTCATGCCCCAGGGCTCTGACTCAACCCAGAATCCTTAGCCCAGCTCCCACTTCCAAAACAGCGGGGAACTCGGGGATTGTCAACCAGTTGTCCAGAAGCATAACATTCAGGTGAGGTCAAGTGTCTCCACATGGCTTTGGGTTGGAAGGGAGCCTGAGACCTCTGGCCCCCTCTCCCTTGCCTCCCATCATGCAAGGATGATACCAGAAGCCCTTCAAAGGCTGCAGCTTTTATTTTTGCTTTATGCCCAGAACATGCAACACCCTCAGACTCAGGCCTAGGACCTCTGCTCCTGGCCCCCTGAGTCCTTGGAATTTGGGCCCATGGTCAGGCATCCACAGGGGCAAGGCAACATGCCACTCAGCCTTCAAGAGCACAGTTCAGGAACCAGGACCCTGGAATCCCCCACCCTGACAGTTCAGAATCTGCTTCCAAGACCTGTTCAGGGCTTCCCACCTGACCTATCTGTGGGGGCTTTGGACGGGGCTGTGATGTCCCCTGGAGAAGGCTCAGGGTCCTTATAACCCAGGAAAGAGCTGGGACTGGAAGTCGGCTCTCCTGCTTTGGAACCTGGAGGGTCTGGTGACTCTAAATCTGTAGCTAACTGTCCACTGTAAAGATATGCTTATCAAAGCAAAGGACAAGAATACTTCCGGAGAGTTAAGCTCCCTGCCCAAGAAGAGTCACAATTAGTGACACTCCTGCAAAGAGAATCTGTGCCCACTCCCTTCGTGCACAGGAGAGCTTGCTGTTTGGGGGCTGAGAATACAACTGGAGCCCTGGAAAAAACGCAGTCTCTTTCTCTGCAGCTTGGCAAAAGATAGCAAAGTCACTGTCACCACAGGAAAAGTTACCCACTCCTGGGACTCAGGAGAGCCACAGGCTGTAGTGTCCCTCGAACTGCCCAGGGTAACTCCAGGCTCTGGTGTGGAGGGCCAGGAAAGGACCCTCCATCTCCATTTGTGCAGAGGCTGAGAGCTTCCTTCCCCCATTTCAAAACAGTGGATTTAAGCACAAAGGGTGCGCAGGATCAATGATTTCCATGTCCTCAGTGTCCCAGGTCCACTTCACAACCTGCTAGGTCCTCATCCCACCCTCTGGGCTGCAGGAAGGGATGAAACCACCAAGCCTGACCTGAGGGCTGTGTTCCTGCACACACTCAAGGGGGCCTGGGGGAAATCCCCCCACCAGGCAGCTTCCTGAAGAAGATGATGCCCCGCTTCCCTCCCTGCAGTCGGGGGCTCCCGCCTCCTAGCAGCCCTCTCTCAGCAGCCCTGTATGCACGAATGGCCTCTTCCATTGCAAACACAGCTAATTCCCCTTCGACCGTCCTGCCTCCCCTCTGTGAGTTAAAGGTCAGTGATGTGCTTCCCAGATGGGGAAATTAGGGCAAACGGGAAAGTGACACAGAAGCTTGCTAACTTCAGAGAGATCAGCTAGCTCTCCCTGGGCCTGTCACTCCAAGCCTTCTTCTCCCAGCCCGTGACCCCAGGTTCCCCGCACCGGGCTCACCTGGGTGGTGTTCCCCCAGCCCCTGCAGCCCCTCTGGTGGGTGCACGCAGACATTGTTCTTGGAGTAGATGATCTCCCCATCCAGGACGGTGGGGGGCCCGCCGCCGCCGCCGCCACCACCCGGGGTGAGGGTCAGGAAGTCCGAGGCTTTGGAGGAGGCCCGGCGAAGGAGGCGGCCCAGAGACATTGTCGGGGCAGTGTTTCCATCCTCCGCACACTTGGGCCCAGGTGGGGCTCTTCCAGACCTGCCTAGGGGAGGAAGAGAGAGGACAGGCATGGCCCAAGATCATCAACTTGGACAGGGCATCCCTGGGGCAGCATTGTGTCCCACACAGGTAAGCTGCAAACGGAAGCTCTGCAACCACAGAAGGGGTCCTGCTAGCACAAGGCCATACAGAGGAAATGGGTTCTCAACTGTGGCCCTACAGACACTCAGGGCTGGGCCATTCTTGGTGGTGGTGGCTGTCCTGTGCCTTGTAGGGTGTTTTACAGCATCCGTGGCCTCGACTCACCAGATTCCACTAGCACCCCTTTCCACTATGACAACCAAAAATGTCTCCAGCATCGCAAATATCCTCCGAAGGCAAAATCACCCTGTTAAGAACCAGTCTAGGGAATTCCCTGGCAGTGAAGTGGTTAGAAATGGGCACTTTCACTGCTGTAGGCCCAGGTTCAATCTCTGGTTGAGAACTAAGATCCCACAAGCCCAAAGTGTGCACCTCCTACAAAAAGACCAGTCTAGAGGAACCTGTTCCCACAGCAGTTCAGTTCAGTTCAGTCGCTCAGTCATGTCCGACTCTTTGTGACCCCATGGACTGCAGCACACCGGGCTTCCCTGTCCATCACCAACTCCCGGAGTTTGCTCAAACTCATATTTGTTGAGTCGGTGATGCCATTCAACCATCTCATCCTCTGTCATCCCCTTCTCCTCCTGCCTTTAATTTTTCCCAGCATCAGGGTCTTTTCTAATGAGTCAGTTCTTCACATCAGGCAGCCAAAGTACTGGAGTTTCAGCTTCAGCCTTAGCCCTTCCAATGAATATTCAAGACTGACTTACTTTAGGACTGACTGGTTTGATCTCCTTGCTGTCCAAGGGACCCTCAAGAGTCTTCTCCAACACCACAGTTCAAGCAAGAATACTGGAGTGGGTTGCCAGGCCCTCCTCCAGGAGATATTCCCAACCCAGGGATTAAACCCAGGTCTCCTGCATTGCAGGTGGATTCTTTACCATCTGAGCCACCAGGGAAACCTCCAGGCTTTCTCTTTGCTTAGGGTTCACCACTGTGTCCCTTCCTTCCTGAGGTTCTCAGCCCTCTGCTTCCCAGGGAATGTCCTGGTTCTCTGTCTTCCTTCCCACCCCTCCAGGTCTTCTCCATCCTCACCTGACCCGTGTGTCATCATCCCAAAGCCCAGCCTCTTGTCCTAACACATGCTGGCCACCTCTGCTGGGAAGGAGTCACAAGGGATAGGTGAAGGACTCGAGTTAACACCCAACTCATTCTTTAAAAAAAAAAAAAACTAGGAATCAAACAATCAGCTTGAGAATATATACAGAACTCCTACTCCTAAAGACTCCCCACAAAAAGGAGCAATATCCCAACAGAAAAAGCAGGCGATTCACAGAAGAGGAAACGGAAGGACTGAGAACATGAAATGAAAACCCAACACCTGATACATTGGCAAAAAGCAATGTTAATTCCAGCAAAAATTAAACAGAAGCCCAGGCAGCAGCTATGTGGACCAACCAAATGTTCCTGTCCATGGGGCTCATGAGGGCTGCCTACCAAGCTGGGAGTGCCTACCATGGGCATGATGTCACCTGTATAAATGAACAGATGTATGGAAAGCTGGTTCCTGGTCAGAGATCATAGATGTCTGAGACCCAGGCCACATTGGGGAGGGTGCAGGCCAGCCTCGAAGGGCGAGGTGGCTGGAATGGGAATGTTGCAGATGGGCTGCAATTCCAACTCTCGGAGAAAGAAACAGAAAAGACTTGAAGCCAATATGATAAAGTCAATGACTGGGAATAGATAAACAAAACAGAGTCTGTCCATATGATGGGGTATTACTGAGCTTTCAGGAGAGAAATTCTGACACCTGCTACAATGTAGATGGAACTTGAGGACATACTCAGTGAAACCAGCCAGTCACAGAAGGACAAATATTGCATTGACATTAGGTACCCGGGACAGTCAAACTCATAGAGACAGAGAATAGAAGGGTGGGTGCCCAGGGCTGGGTGAGGGCTGGGGAGTTAGTGTTTAATGGGGAGAGTTACTGTTTGGGAAGATGAAGAAGCTATGGAAATGGATGCTGGTAATGGCTGCACAACATGGACCCAAATGTCCCCAGTGCCGCTGAACTATCACTTGAAAATGGTTAAGACCACAGAGTCCTAACCACCAGGGAATTCCCTATGTCATGTATATTTTACCATAATAAATTTTTTTTAAATTGTCAACTGGAGGAGGTTCTCAGGGTAAATTATATTGTTCTTCGTACTTTCTGCATTTTGTTCACTTACCCCGAAATCCAGGGCTGATTTAGGATGTTCCCTAAATGGAGTTCTCTTTGTGTCCAGTGCTTGGACAGTTTCTTGGGGCAGAGGGCAGGGATTAGGGGGCCATCTGGCTCAGCAGGGGAGGGGTGGTCTCGGCGCTAATTTCCTTCAATGTCTTGGGACCGGGTGGCTGAAGGCTGGATCCTCAGCACCTTATGGCTCTCTGGTTGCCCCTCTGAGCCCCCTTGCTTCGATCTCCCCTCTACCTGCATATTTCCAGTTGTGTCCGGGGCTACTAACTCTCCCAAACACAGTTCCATGGGGGCCCCCCGGAGCCACCTTTCCCATCCCTGCACCTTTACCTAGAGAAATCCACCACTCTCTTCTCTGTCATTGCTGAGGTTCCTAAGGGCAGGATGACTTTGACAATCACCAGCCCTGGGGACCCAGGACCAGCTGGGGTCCTTGCCTTCTCATCCCTGAGCCACAGAAGCCCCTCCATCTCGGCCATGTCCAGGGTCCCGAATCCACCCCTTCTCGGTCACCCACCAAGCCTGAGACCCCACTTTCAATGTGGGTTACAGAATTAAGTTGACCCCTCAGCCCCAGCAATGGTAAGCAGGCTCTGTAAAGGACCAGACAAGAAATATTTTTGGCTCTGTGGGCCCAAAGGTCACTGTGGAGACTACTCAACTCTTCCCTGTTGTGCGAAAGTAGGCAGCACTCAGGCAGGTGTGACTGTTCCCACCAGACTGTTTGCTTACCTGGTGGTTCAGATGGTAAGGAATCTGCCTGCAATACAGGAGACCCAGGTTCAGTTCCTGGGTTTGGAAGATTTCCTGGAGAAGGGAATGGCTACCCACTCGAGTATTCTTGCCTGGAGAATTCCATGGACAGAAAAGCCTGGCTGGCTACAGTCCATGGGGTCACAAAGAGTCAGACATGACTGAGAGACTAACACTTTCACTTCACTCATGCCAGTTCCATATAATTCTGATGTCACACAGGAAAACCCTTCAATTTTTTCCAATCATTTAAAATGTCATAACCAAGCTGCCCTGGTGGCTCAGTGGTAAAGAGTCTGCCTGCCAATGCAGGAGACATGGGTTCCATCCCTGATCTGGGAAAATGCCACAGAGCAACTAAGCCTGTGTGCCACAACTACTGAACCTGTGCTGTGGAGCCTGCGAGCCACAATTACTGAGCCCACAGGCTGCAACTACTGGAGCCCGAGCACCCTAGATAGAGCCCGTGCCCCACAGCAAAAGAAGCCACTACAACGAGAAGCCCATGCACCACAACTAGAGAGCAGACCCTGCTCACTGCAGCTCGAGAAATGCCCTTGCAGCAACAAAGACCCAGCAGAGCCAAAAATAAAATCAGTAAATAAAATTATGAAAAACAAATGTCAGAATCAGCCTTAGCCTGTGCACTGTACAAAACAGGCAGAAGGCGGGATTTGGTTCATGCGCTACACGTGGCCAACCCCTGGCTCAGACCACTTTCTGGAGACTCAGGGCAGGGCTGTTCCTCGCTACCCAAATCCCCTCCAGGCTGACTTTTGGGGAAGCCTTCTGGCCTCCCCAGGTCGAGGGGGCGTCTCCCCCGTCTTAACCACTGAGTTCTCCTGTCTGAACACACAACATCTGACCAAGATTCGAAACTTAAATCACACTGGAACCTACACATCGGAATATGTGTTTTCTTTCCAATTAATCACTTGATAAAGCTATATTTCAATTCTAATGATGACTTCATTCCATTCATCTGGAATATTTTTAGAATTCAAGAATCACTCCAGAATCACAAGATCAGTTAATGAGCCATAGAAGAAAATGAATTCCCCTCTCCAGATCAGCACTGCCCAGGAGACATACAATGTGAGGCCTCATATGTAATTTAAAATTTCCAAGTAGCTGTACTTTTAAAAAGTAAAAAGAAAGAAATGAGGGAAATTCATTTTAACAATATGTTTTTAGTTAAGCCACTATATCCCCAATAGTATTACTTCAGCATGTAATCAACATGAAAAAATTACTGATGAGCTATTTTACATTCTTTACATCTCTAGAGTCCGGTTTATATTTTGAACATAAGCACACCTTAGTTCAGATCAGCCGTGGTCCAGGTGCTTAGTGGCCTCCTGGGGCCCGTGGCCTCTGGGTGGGCAAGACTAGGGCGGGGCTGGGGCCCCACCTCCATCTGAGCCTCAAATGGTATTACTAATACTTAGTTTAATTGTACTAACTGCCAGAATGAGCTGCAAACAACACTCAGATGATTCTAAAAACCACACCATCTTTAAGTGAAGATGGTTTGCCACTGTTGAGGGTAATCAAAAGAATGTGCTGAAAGCTCTGAAGGGGATTCCAAAATACAAGTGTTCACAATATAGCATTTTCCCCATGTCGGCTGTGAAATCCCACTGCAGTCCTGGAAACCAAGTCCTAGCAGCACAGTTTTGCAAACGAGAAAACAGGTACTGCACACCCCAAGTCCGCACACCCCAGTGAGTGGACACACCTGAACGTGAGAACTCTGTCCTCCGTGCTTGGAGTTCTGGCGCCTAGGCGCCCCCACCCAACCTGGGTAAGCAAGGACAATCCCCCAGCTCCACCCCCAAGGCTGTTCAAGGGTGGAAGATAATCTGCTTCTTGGTAGATCCCAAACGTCTGTTAAACATTAGC